TCCGGGATTGTATCTTGACCTTTATTAAACATAACTAAGGTCCATATCCAAATAAAATGAATCGGCTTGTTTTAAACTCGTATACACAAAATTTGGGATAGGAGCCCGAAATATGGGTCCCATGACGATTTAATCAGACCATATATAAAGATCACAAGCAAGTTAATGAAGCACACACATTATTCATAGAGATCAACCCTTTAATGTGCATACAGAATAGTCATTAATTTAATCAAAGCTAATTAATTTCCCTTTTTAAAAATTATTAGAATTTGAATCTTCATTAATGCTGACGAGAATAAATGTCGTAAACGTAATTATTAACAGAAAATAATTTAATTCAAAGATATAATTATTTTTCATATGATTTTCAAATGTGATTACTCTGTAATCAAAAATAAATTTAAATAGTTTAATGTGATTGAGGGTTGAAAATAAGGGGAATGATGGTGGGAGCGTAAAACTTTGAAACTGTAAAGCAATATTCGACTGATTGAGCGTTATAAGATAAAAAAAATCTACACGAAACATACTTATCTTCCTATTTTATTAAAATTATATTTGATTAGTCATTAATTCTGTCTGTAAAATTAATGCTAACGAGAATAAAATTGAAAGTTATTCAATATTATTTTGGGAATCATGTAATCGAACCAAATAATGGTAAGGTAGCTGAGTTGGTGCTGAAGCATATATTCAATCTTTTTTTTGGATATTACATGAAATCGAACAACAAACCTAACACCCTCTAAACACACCCAACACCACTAGGCTATCCCTAGTGGTGCAGCATATATTCAATCTTCTTCGTGATGATTAATAGATTAGAATATTTAAAAAAAAAATCATGTAATTGATTGGATTTTGATGAATGTGATAATAAACTTGGCTATTAACCAAAAGTAATTTGATGCAAAATATGATTTTTTTGGGCTCCACTCGATAGTAAATTTAACCAAATTTAAACAAATCAACCAATTTAATTTAATGTGATTTAGGATTGAAAAATAAAGTTGGAAAAAAGGGAGAAAAAAAAGGACAAAATAAGTGATAGAGTGAAACTTGAAAATTGGGAAGCAATATTGCGATTGATTGAAAGTTGTTGGTAAAAAAATATTGAAATACTATTTTAGGTTAGCTGGACACATATCTACCTTTTTCATTTTTTTAAAAATGGATAAATTAGTCATTATTTGATCAGTCCCTATAATTAATTTACTATCTTATAAATTACTAGAATTTGATTGGCCAATAATATTAATGAGAATAGAATGAAAAGTTATTTAATCTATTTTTATGAATCATACAAATGCATATATATATATATATATATATATATATATATATATATATATATATATATATATATATGGGGAAGGATATTGTGACAATCAAATTGTGTTACTAACAAGTGACTACCAATTAATCTCACCGTTAGATCGATTATGTTGACCCAACGGTTATATTTATTTCCATCTTTGTATGGTCATGGTTTCCCAAATTTAAAGTGAAAGCATTAAATATGGGAAATCATAACCATACAAAGGTGGAAATAAATATAAAGTATTAAATTTGTGAAACCATGACCATACAAAGATGGAAATAAATATAACCGTTGGATCAACATAATCGATCTAACGGTGAGATTAATAGGTAGTCACTTGGTAGTAACACAACTTGGTTGTCACAATATCCTTCCCACACACACACACACACACACACACACACATATATATAGGGATAGGTTATTCTGCCTACTCTTATTTTGCTTACATTTGCCTACCTCTCTCAACACTATTAGATTAGATTACAATCTTATTCTACGGTCGAGATTTGCGGAATAAATATTTTTCCCATTTCTTTCTCCTCATTGCCTCCCACAAGAGGTGAAACTAGGCCGGGCCGGCCTACAGGGCCCTACGACTCGGCCTACGTCAGGTCAGACCTGACCTAGTATATTTCGTAAAATGGGTCGGGCTTGAGCCTTGAAAAAACTTGTTTAATAAAAAGGTCGTAGGCTCACTTTCACAAGCCCAGGCATATAAACCTACAGGGCGCCTATATTGTACTATTTATTTTTAAATATAATATAATATAATAAGCATGCTTTGAAGAAAAAACAAAAGATATAAATTTAATCAATTACAATTATTTATAACTTAATTATATTTGATTATATTTTAATAGAAACCTGACTTTATTTCTTATGTAGGAGAAACTAACATCTCAACATGTTAGATTGTATATATGAATATATTAAAAGGTTTTTGGGAGAGATTATACTTACTACGAGTATCATGATGTGTTTGTTCACTTTGTTGGATTCATGTAGTTATTTTAATTTACATAGTATGGATTTGTTTGTTGGATCTGATGAAATATATGTTATTTAGTTTGAGCATTTTGCTTTTGAAAGTGACTTAAATACAGATTGTATGAGTTTTGTTGTGATTCATGATTCTGTTTGGATGTTGAAATTATGATTTTTGGTTTAACAACAGAATTTGAGTATTTTGTAAGGTTGCTTCATGGTTCTGCTTGGAAGTTAAAAATTAACAGGCTAAAGGGTTAGGCCAGGTCATTTGTTTTTTAATAAACGAGTCAAGCCAGGCTAATAGTTAGACTCGTACTAAGTTTGGGCCAGACCAAATTGAAATTTTTTGGCGTAGGCTTGGGCTTTTCAGGGCAAAGCTTGACCCAGCTCAGCCCACTTTCATCCCTACCTCCCATACTCTTTCTTTCTCCTCCATTTTCTCTCTATCGATTTGCGTAATTTACAACATTAATTTATATTTGAATCTAAATCCATAAAATGATTAATGGCATGATAGTTCTACTGGATGAATAAAATTTTCAAAATTCCTTGAATATGATATAATTGAACACGACAGAAACCACATAAATACAAAAAAATGAAAACCACGAATAATCCCTTTCTTTGAATTAATCCTCGATTACCGTAATATTTCTACTTTATTGTTGAAATTTGAAATCGAATCAATCCTTAACTCTTTGGAAGTACGAGGGGTTAATTGATGGAATTGGACGTGGAGGGTGGTGTTTTGAAAGAGAAATTAACTATGCGTGGTTTCATGTAATTTGCCTTAAACTAAATTCATAATAAAATACGCAATTAATAAAATAATTTTGAGCCTTATATATCAACAAAAGGCATTGGCTTAATGATAAACTAAATGCATTTTCCATATCATGTCATACGTTCGAGTTTCAGTCTGCATTTCCATAAATATTTTTCAAAAGCATCCCTGTCAAATCGGCGATTTCACAGTGGTTTGCATACAATCTGATGACAAGTGCAGACCGGTTGGTGTTCTGATTTTCGGTTGAACAAAAGGGGGGAGGCAGAAGGTAATAATAGAAAAGGTGAATGTTCTATTAAGTTTACCAACATCCGGGGATCAAGTGACGAAGGAACACAGAAAGAAAGAACCGTAATAAAGGAGTCTTTAAAATATTTTATCACACCGTAATTTCATCCTTAGAAGAAAGTAGTATGATTGCATTGATAATTTTAGGAATTAGTATTTCTTACGGTGTAGGAGATAATTATCTCCTATACATAAATAATAGTGTCTGAGACTTTTTTTTTTTCTTTGTTCTTTTCACATTGCCGCAGTCTCATGTACTTTTATGTATTTGAATATAAGAGATAATTTTATGTTATAACATAAAAAACATTAATCTCATATTTTAATAATAAAAATTGTCATAAAGTTATGTTAAATAATCACTTGGACCATCTTGGATGCATAATTTGTTCGAATAATGAGTCCACTAATTCTATGCATGCGTTTTTGCTCAAAATGTATGTTACAAGCATTCATCATTATGTTACTAATAATTCCGGAAAACATACATAAATCATGTTTTGGTACGACTCAGGAGAAAAACTTTTTTTTTTTTTTTTGAGATTTTTGGTAATCCCATAGGTTCCTTGTGGACCAGGAGAAAAACTTTGGTGCACCAATTTAGTGCTCCTTTTTATTAAAAAGGGAAAAAATTACCTTTTTATCCATATATTTTTTTATATTTCCCTCTAAGTTCTAAATAATTTCTCTTTTTAGTAAAAGATAGCATGGAGTTTGGTGCTCTCGATATACCAAAGTTTATTCTTTTTTCAGGTGTTTATATTTTTTTGTCTCATTTTTAGTCATTACTTCTGCTTTACTAAATTGTTTATACAATTAAGTGAAAATAAAAGCAATGGAAAAATGCAGGACATAATTTAAAGGAAATAATGTTTCTCGTCCAGGAGATAAATTTATCTTCAGCAACTTTAAACGACATAGGGAAAAAAATACAGGATTTTTAAAAAAATTTACTTTTCCTTTCATACCAAGAATCTTATTAAAAAATTCTGGTATTTTTTTTTCTAAACCCCAAAAAAAGATCGCTTGAAAAATTAAAATAAATTCTAAGATGTTGAGTACAAGAATAGGAAGAAATCAAAAAGCGGAAGTTTTATGCCATATAATATATGAAATAATAGATTGTAGGAGAGAAATTTTTTCTCTTATACACGGTAAAAAATGTGTGGAATCCATATTTTTTTTTCTCTCTCTCCTGACTTCATATGATACCACATGAGCCCTACAAGATAAAATCTCCTATATAAAACATGAGAACATTAATCACTATAATGTATAGGATTTTATTTTTTTCATATTGCATGACACAAATTGTATCATGAAAATAAAAATAAAAATGAGTGAACCCACTAAAAAAGTGAGAACAAATACCAAAGGAGACAGAACCTCACAAGAACAAAAGATAAAACTGCTTACTTTCCATCGATTTAATCAGCAAAACATCAAAAAGTGCACGATCACAGATGATACTAGCTAGAAAATAAAGCATCATTAATACTATCTCATAACTTAGAATTTAATTTTCAACTTGTATGAATTGTGTATATCACACACTGATTTGTTTAAGAACATGAAGGGAAAAAAATAAAATAAAAAACAACAAAAAAACAATCAAGGCGTGTACTCTTGATATGCCTCCGGCTTCTCATACTCTTCAGCGTTGTCAAACACATTTTGGTACTGATTCTTCTTATAGTAACCACCATTTTTAGTGGTTGCTCTCTCTGATTCGAACCCATTGAGGTTGTAATTCTCGTCATCATTATTGACTTGATAATTGTACTTGCCATCCTCAACGAACCTTGTGTCACTCATTCCTTCTCTTTTACCCTCGTAGCCATTGCCATTGTAATTGTTGTTGTAGTAGTTTTCTTTGTCATTGTAGTTGTTGTCATAGCCATTGTTGCCATTGCTCCTGTACTCTTCCTTATTGAAGTTGTCTCTGTCCACTTCATTGTTGTAGTTGCTGTTGAAGTTGGTCTTGGGATAAGCAGTTTTGTAGCTCTCATCATTAAACTCTTCATTTAGGAGCTCATTTTCAAAGTTTGTGGTGGTAGGAGTGTCCTTGATGGGAGAATATTGTGTAGAAGTTCTACCATAAAGGCCATAACCATCACCCTTATCAACAAAATCAAGCTGTGGCACTGGTCCTGGAAAATATGGTATTAGTGATTCAGATGGTGTTGGTGCTGATGATGGTGTTGCTATTGATGCTGGTGCTGGTGCTGACCCAGATGATATTATTGATTCAGATGGTCCTGGTGCTGGTGTTGGTGCTGATGATGGTGTTGTTATTGATGCTGGTGATGGTGCTGACCCAGATGGTGTTATTGGATCAATTGTTGGTGTGGCTGCAGGTACTGAGGTTGGTGCTAGTGATGGTGCTGGAGATTCACATTTTTGTTTCTGGGGCAAAACTTGAGAACTTTTGACATCGTAGTTGGTTCTTGAAAGGGAAAATAAGTTAAAGGGCTTGCCCACTCTGGCATGAATTTGGGGGGACAGAACAACAACAAATAAGAAAAAGAATGAGAGTTTCATTCCAAAAGAAGACATTGTGTGGAGAGACAATAACAATGAGAGACGAATACTATTGAGTGAATGAAATTGTTAGGCTTATTTTATAGAGAGAGCCTGCTCCTAAATCAAAGGACCATAAATTATAACTATGCGAGGATTGTGGAAGGAAGAATGTGCAGAGACAGCACATTAGTCTTAGTCAAAAAGGTAGCATTTTTATTTTTATTTTGTTAAATCTTTTTTTTCCAGTTTTAACTACTGATATGAGTCCGTCCTTTGCTTTTCGAAATTGATTGGCTGACTTAACGCAATCTTTAGTGTTTCTAGTTTATTAGACAACTATAATAAAAATGGAAGTTTGAAAGAAAAAAGGGAAAAAAATATGTAAATGATAGCGTGAAATTTGGAAAATGGGAAACAATATTTCACTGATTGAATCAATAAGGGGAAAAAAAATTAAGTTACTATTTTGGATCATAGGAATCATATTTATGATTTACCTTCCAATCTTATTAAAATTAAATTTGATTAGTAATTATTCAATCAAAGCTAATTGATTTCCCTTTTAAACAATTACTAGTGCAGACTGTGCAGTACCCGTGCAATGCACGGAGGAAAAAGATCAAAATTTTTGTCGACATCTGTCATCGGTTAATTGCTACAAGAAAGAATCATGTTAGTATTTTGTCCTATATAGAGAGGTGAAAAAGCTACAACATTCACATAAAACTTTGTAAGTATCTATCACAAACAAAACTCTGCAAATAAGAAACATCAATTATTATACAAATAAAAAATAGTTATATACTCTATAATTGATTATTTTCATATACAGCAATACATACAGCAGCAACAGTGATGAGATACAGATTGTCCTACCAGAGAGAAATCTTCAAAAAAAAGATGAAAAGTTCATAGAATTTGAATCTTCATTAATGTTAACGTGAATAAATATGTGGTAAACGTAACTATTAAAAAATATTAATGCAAAAATATAATTATTTTCAAATGTGATTTACTCTAATAAAAAATGAATTGAAATAATGTAATCGAAAGTAATTTAATGTGATTTATGATAGAAAATAAAGGTTGAAAAATGGGTTTTTTTTAGCGTCAAACTTTGAAAGTGGAAAGCAATATTGCGACTGATTGAATTATAGAATAGCAAAATGTACACGAAACATATTTATCTTCTTATTTTATTAAAATTAGAATTGATTAGTCATTAATTCCGCCAGTAAAATTAATTTACCTTACTAAAAATTACTAAAATTTGATTTCTCATTAATGCTAACGGGAATAAAATTAAAGGTAATTCAAAATTATTCTAAGAATCATGCAATTGATTGGGTTTTTTTTTATGAATGTGATAATAAACTTTGCTGTTGACCAAAAGTAATTTGATGTGAAAATATGATTGTTTTTGGCTCCATTCGATAGTAAATTTAACCAAATTTAAGTAATTCAACCAATGTAATTTAATGTGATTTAGGTTGAAAACAAAAGTTGGAAAAAATGGGCAAAATAAGTGAGATAGTGAACTAGAAAATCGGGAAGCAATATTGCGATTGATTGAAAGTTATTGGTAAAAAAAAATAAATTAAAATACTATTATAGGTTTGCACAAAACATATTTACCTTTTCATTTTATTAAAATTAGATAGAATTAATAGTCATTAATTGATCAGACCTAGGGGCGGTAAACGAACTAGGGGTCATTCAGTGGTCTTTCACCTGGTTCGTGAAGGCCTAGGCATACATGTTTAAAATTAATTGTTATAACCAAGCTTGGACTTGTATAAAAACTCGTTTAATAAAAAGATTTCATGCTCCAATTGAAAAGTTCGGCCTTAGAATCTCTCAGGCTAACCTAGCATACTAACTTTTATTTATATTTTTTATTTTTTATACTACTAATAGTCCTTTCTCTCTCCTCAAACCATTTTACCTATTTTTTTGATTGAAAAGACTTTTTGAATGATTTTATTTTATATTATGCTATTTGGATATACATTGAATTTATGAATCTTTGTGGAATTATTAGTGTTGTTGATCATATATGTTTGGATAAATTTTTGTTGTCTTATTTTTTTTAATAGGCTAAACCAGACCTTTATTTTATTTTGTAAATAAGTCAGGCTACATGCCGATAATTATATTCATAACAGGTAACAGGCTAGGTCAAACTGACACATTTAAACACATACTCAACTTTTTAAGATCAAAGTCCGGCCCGCCTCTACCTGTTAACACCCCTAATCAAATCCTATAATTAACTTACTTTCTTATAAATTACTAGAATTTGATTGCCCATTGATTTTAATGAGAATAGAATGAAAAGTTATTTAATCTACTTTATGAATCATACAAATTCGCCTATCCATTTTAAAGTAATTTTATTCGTTTGGGATGAACGCAATATATATGAACAAAAGACATCAAATGGTAGCGGTTCAAGGGAGCTTAGTAGTGAAAAGAAAATGGTCTCGTTTCGATTCACACATGTCACTTTTGGGAGGGAATTAAATATCTTCATCTCTGACTTATCATGCACTTCAAATTAGTCTCATAGTTGGCTCAAAAAGTCGAAGCTTGTAGGGATATCAAGAGGAGCCAACTATCCTCAAAAAGATAATTAGAGTTTGGATAACTAAAAAAAAAAGACGACATTTTGGTTAAAAAATAATTGATTTCGTGGGGCATGATGGTTGTAGGCTTCTAGCTATCAATCAAATAAGTAATAGTACACAAAGTGGTGCCCATGTTTTTGAAAGGAAGATTGCTAAGTTAGCTTAATGACCGGCATGATTAGTTAAAAGCAAGTCTGCACTTTTGATATTCCATATGTTTTTGAGTGATGTTGAAGGAACACACTTTATTACTTTGGAGAGTGACTGTGGCGTGATCAGCGGCAGAAAAATTGAAAAACAAAGGCAGAATGAGGACATTTGGAACTTGGAAGTACCGAACATGCCTCTTGGGATGGGTGGGTGACCACTTTTTGACTTTAGATTTGACATCTGCTCCAAAATATGAGGCGATTTTTTGGAAAAATGTCAAATTTTATATGATAACAAACACAATATTGGGGGGGCTGAATGTCATTCAGGCATTGAAGGCCCATGTTTCCTGTGTAAGTAACCCATTGAATTTTATTGGGCCAATTTCTTAAGACTCTTTAAACTCCAGAGAGCAACATGTTGTGTCTTCTTTTAGCAAATAGAAACCCGAATCCATAGACTCCAATATAGTTGTTGGACTACCACCTTACATTAAACCGAAGTCCTTATTCTATTATTTCACATCAACCATGCCTGTCCTGAAGTACGGTTGGCCCAAAATAAAAACAACGTATCCAAAAAGGTTGAGGAGCATCGATGCTCCAGGCAGTATATTTCATATGCATATGATTTATACTTTAGCATATTTTTTATTTAATTATTTTTTTTCGTAGACAATTTCTATCCGATCTCACTTCCTTATGAATTTATCTTGAATCGAGATCTTTTGGTTCTTTTCGATCTCTATGCATTTCACCGCTCCACCGAAAATTTCCTGATCTATGAACTAGTCCATGTTTGACTAGCCAAGCACCATTTTTCCTATTTATATGCCGATAAGCCGAAACCAAAATTTTTATTTTCTGTTGAGGAATAGTTCAAAGAAGACAGCAATAAAATCATATTACGCACAAAAAATACAAAATAACACAAATAAAAAAATGAAATAAATAATAGAATATTCAGGAGGCCGGTAAGGATCAAGAGAAAGATCAAGATTGCTCTGGTGTATCGTATAAATTGTTTGAAATGAAAAAATCAAATAATTCTATGTGGTGGAACAAAATATATCGTGCCCAAGCTGCCACAGCCCACAGGTACGAGAATGATGCAAAAAAAATTTCGTATCGGAGAGGATTCGGTATTCAAACATATCAGGGGCTCATGTTTGTTACCTAAAGAGTAAAACCTGTAGAAACATCTATGGGTGATTGGTATGTTGATCCCTAAAAACAACAGAAATTATGTGGACATTCAAAAGATATAATATAAAGTTATTAATGGATCTTCACTTAATAATTTAGGGTTTGTTTGATGGGGAAGGATATTGTGATAACCAAGTTGTGTTACTACCAAGTGACTACCAATCAAACTTACCGTTCGATCGATTATGTTGATCCAACAGTTATATTTATTTCTATCTTTGTATGGTCATGATTCTCCATATTTAAAGTGAAAACATTAAATATGGGAAATCATAACCATACAAAGGTGAAAATAAATATAAAGTATTAAATTTGGGGAATCATGACCATATAAAGATGAAAATAAATATAACCGTTGGATCAATATAATCGATCTAACGGTAAGATTGATTGGTAGTAACACAACTTGGTTGTCACAATATCCTTCCCCTTGTTTGATTGTGTTTTTAATTTTTTTGTTTTTGTTTTGAAATCTATTTTGTAGAATACTTTTTAAGAATTGATTTTCAGAATAAAAGAAGAAAAAAATCTATTTGAAAAATTTATTTTGAAAATAATTTTAAAAGTTAAAGAACTAAAAAATTTGCTTGATAAATTTGTTTTAAAAATAATTTTTAAAACAAAATAATAAAAAACTCGTTTGATTGGTTTTTTTTTTTATAAATAAGTTCTATTATTATAAATTTGAAGAGGGTAGTGACAAGAGAAGAGATTTCTAGCAATTTCTAAATGTAAGCACAATGGAAGAGGGCCAGGTTTGGTTAACGTTTTGAATATTTAGAAACTCGAGTCCAATCTTGACCTGAGAATTTTTTGAAATACAAGCTTATCGGCCCTATTACTTGTTAGGGCTCTGGTAAACTTGAATGGTATTCCTCTGGTTTGACCTGAATATTGAACAGCCTACTTTCAATGTTCACATTCGTTGCAATTTGAGTAAAATAAGAACTACGCACTCGTCTGTGATTAAAATCTCACTGTTCATTAAGGTTTTTATTCAAATGCCATCTGAATAATATTATTTTTCAATATGACACGCGGACAAGTTTGC